ATGTACCATAGCACTAAATCTCCCCTGGGTTCAATCCCTAGAACCCACCCCCACCCCTGCCAAATAAAAAAAGAAATTTCTGTTGTTTAAGTCACTCAGTCGCAACAGTTCTAGGAAACTAATGCACTAAATTTTAATACCATCTTTATTTGGGGAAATCTTAATACCATATTTATTTAGCTCCTAAGATTGCTTCCACATCAAATAGATGTAATACTTTTGTAAAATATAAAGCACTATATAAATATATCTGTTATTAAACACAATCCCTAAGAAACTGAGAAGAGTGCAGTTATTCTGTTTACATCACAGAGGCTTAATGCCAGAAAGAGAGATGCAGAGAAGCAGATTTGAATAATACTGCAGTAAAGTATACAACGAGGACAGTAAAAGGAGAAACAAAATAAGATAATTGTTCTTTACTGCCCCACTGCAAATTGTTTAAAAACCACCACATATAACAGTTAATATGTACTAAGTATATCAACCCTATGGCAGAAGTGCTCTGTGTGTGTGTGTGTGTGTGTGTGTGTGTGTGTATGTATGTATTACAGTCTCTTCTTTAACATGTTTCTTTAAAATGACAATTTATTCACATGTAGTAGATAAAAAAAATAATAAAATTGACAAAATGAGACTTTGTGATTCTCCTCCTCCTCTGCACTGGGAATTAAACCTAGGAATACTGCCATTGAGCTATATCCTTAGGCCTTTTTATTTTTTATTGAAATAAGGTCTTACTATAAATTGCCTAGGCTGGTCTGGAACCTCAATTGAGATTTTCCTGCTTCAGCCTCCTGAGTAGCTGGGATTACCCAATCGAGAAGTGATTTATCTAGAGATGACTATGCTTTGCATTACTATGAAACATGGAAATTACTACTGATTGAATATTTGACCATGCCATCTTCTTATTCTTACCCCACTGCATCTGCAAGCATTGAACTAAGAATGTGTACACTGTTCTAGTTTGTGTTTATTTTGTGATTGAGCACATGTCCTATGTGTAAGTATCCTGGTTATAAGAATCTCAAGTAGTGAATAAAAAAAAAAGCCTTCCATTTTTAGGTGAAAATTGAAATAATGAAATAATTTGAAGTAAATGAGAAAATGTGTGGACCCGAAGGAATTCACATTACCCACATTTAGGAACAAAGCTGAGAAAAAATGGGGCCGAGCTTGTGTACCACATTTAACTGCCTCTACTGGAACTGAAAAACATTTGGAAGAAATTGAAGATAAAGACTGTAATATGGAGTGAAGCTGATAGCAGTTTGTGGCCTAGGGTAATTAGAAACCACACAGATTCTTTTCTTTTTTTAAAAAAAAATTTTTAGTTATAGATGGACACAATACCTTTATTTATTTATTTTATGTGGTGCTGAGGCTTGAACTCAGTGCCTCATATGGCTTGGCGAGCACTCTACCACTGTGCCACAATCCCAGCCACCCAGATTCACTATGAAAGGAACAAACTGGCAGAAGAACAAAGTGGGAGTGATAATGGCCAAATTATATCGTTATATTGTGTGCATGTATGAATATGTAGCAACAAATCCCATTATCATGTACATTATGCATCAATAAAAATGTGTAAAAAAGAAACAAAGTCACATTTCCATTTTAAATTATTATTATTTTTTGGTACAGGGGATTGAACTCAGGGGCACTCGACTGCTGAGCCACATCCCCAGCCCTATTTTGTATTTTATTTAGAGACAGGGTCTCACTGAGTTGCTTAGCATCTTGCTTTTTGCTGAGGCTGGCTTTGAACTTGAGTTCCTCCTACCTCAGCCTCCCAAACCACTGGGATTACAGGCGTGCGCCAGTGCACCCAGTCTTAAATTAATTTTGAAGACAGAAAAACAGAACAATAAATGACAGTAATCCACCTTGGGTCACAGTATTTTAGCCTAAGAATGATAATGTCTTTCTTTCCTTTTTCCTCTTCTCAAGAATTCAAAAACCACAACACTTTACCACATGAATTTCCAGCAAGTGGTGTTTGGAGCATGGATATCCCCTATGAAAAATATAACTTATTACCTTCCATTTAAAGTCTAGATGAAAAATGTAAAACTTCTATAAACAAAAGACAAAAAATTAAATTAAAAGGCAATATCACCACAAAACAAAGAAGTAAAGCATATGCTAATTAACTCAATTTAATCATTCCACATATATACATATTTCAAAACATATTGTGCATATATATTTCAAAACATGTTGTACATGATAAAGGCAATTTTTATTTACCAATTAAAAGTTTTAAAAAAATTGGTGTTGGGGATGCAGCTCAGCAGTAGAGTGCTCACCTAGCACATGCAAGGAGCGTTTGATCCTCTGCACCACGTAAAAATAAATAAATAAAATAAAGATATTGTGCCCAAATACAACTAAAAACAAATTTAAAAAATTTCTGAAACATCTATTTACAAAATTTTTTTCCTTAAAGTGAAAATAGACAAACAATTCATTGTAACATATGGCAAACATTCTTAAAGTAATGTATAAAAAGCTCTTATGAATTAATAAGAAAAACCCTGAACATTCTAATAAGAATCAAAGATATGAAAAGATAACACAAGAAAAAATACAAAAGACTAATTAACATGAAACTGCTGGATTTCAATAAAAAGTGCAAAATAAAATTATGTATCTTTTAAAAAAAATTATGTATCATTCTTAACCTAGTCTATTGGCAAAGACATTTTAAAAAATTTTGTTCTAATTAGTAGGCAAAGACGTTTTTTTATTAAGATTTTAAAATCAATTTGGTAATTTTCCTTTCGAGAATTTATCTAAAGGAAATAAAAAAAAGAAGGGATCAAAAGCATATATGGAGGGGCTGGGGATGTGGCTCAGCGGTATCGCGCTCGCCTGGCATGCGTGCGGCCCGGGTTCGATCCTCAGCACCACATACCAACAAAGATGTTGTGTCCGCCGAGAACTAAAAAATAAATATTAAAAAAA